ATGTTATTTAAGTTTATACAAATATAAATTCAAATACAGATAATAATTTAAAGAATAATACGCGTATAATGTCAAATTGCTACATTTTAATTTTCAAATTTGGCGGGCATTACAGTGACACTATCTATATATATTGTACTGTTTTAGTTCCGCCATAGAAGCAGTTGTTACTTTTAGAAATCAACAAATTTTCCGACAAAATGACGAATTCGGTTGAAGATAATATACAATTGAATGAAAATAATACGAATGTGGAATTTGCAACTACTGAAAAACAAGAAGCACGTGCATTTCTGCGTGAACGATTTCTACGTATAATTACTGGAATTGTTGGTACGAATTTCTACTTTTTTAAACCTATTTCTGTTTTCATTAACCAAACACAAAAATATTGATCTAACGATTTTATAAATGTGTAATCTCGTATAAGTTTTTATAATGCTGTCTTCTCAGGAAGTCAGTACAGTTAAGTACAAAATTTCTCAAATGTGGCGCCAGTATCAAAAAATTTAGCCTAATGCGTAAATATAATAGAAAATAAATTATTAATTATTTTTATGTTATAAATGTTACGAATAAAATAATTTAGAAATATGAAACATAAAAAGATTACGTGACAAATGTACAATTAAAATTATTTTTATATAAATTTTAAAATCAAATAGAATTATATAAAAATATGTCATAAACTACTAAATTGTATATTATTTGTTATAGGTAAACAAGCAAAATTTCATCTATATGAAAATACACGGGTTTCTGCTGAATTTAGAGGTTCTGATGTGGATTGCTTGGAAGTGTATGTAAGGAATTTAGAGACACCATTAGGCACGATTCCAGAAGCTGTTTTAAGAGCAAGTGACATTATTTATCTGGATGTGAATGACATTAATAAACTCTCAACACAGAGGTAAATAATACTAATTTTCTTATATTACATAAGAAAGAATACTTTTATTTTTCACCGCTGCTATTTAATAACTTATATAAATATTTATTTACATTTTATAGTTCAAGATCGACGCATATTTAACATTGTATTTATTTCTGAAATAATACGTCTTAGATGATCAATGATTTCTTTAAGATGCCTGTTTTTTAATACCACTTGCTGTAAAAGTTAAATACATGACATTTTAATTTATGACAAAAAACTATTGTTTTCAATTCTTTATATCAAACTTACCTCCATGATTTCTTTGCTTTCTTCACATGCAAGTCTATAAGCTTCAGAAGTCTTTCTTTCATCGGATTTCATATCCCACTCTTCTTTTAGAGGAATTAAACTTTCTATATGTGTATATTCCATACCTTGAAGTTGGCAGTTTTCGTTACATTTTTCATAAATTACTCTTAAACGTCTAAACAATAACTTAAGAGTCCTTAGTTGCTCCTGTACTTTATTCTTTTTTTCATTAGCTAAATTAGCTCCTTGTGCCATACCTAAAATTATAATATAATTATATATCATAGTTGTATTATATAATATAATTAAATGTGTCATAATTATTAAAAATAATTGAATAATTTTATTCTACCATTTGGTAGTTGAAGAACTCTTAATGTTTGGAAGACTTCCAAGGTACGACTAACAATGTCTTGTACAGTTTCTTGACCGAATCTACATAAACTGGCAGTGTTAAATTCCTTATTATGTTGTTGTTGTTGTTGTTGAGGTGGTGGTGGTTGTGTAGGAGGTACAGGTGTTTGTGGCGTTGTAGCTTGGTTGCTTCCTGGATTAGTCTGTTGTACCAATGCAGCTTGTTGTTGTTGTTGTAATTGTAATTGTGCCTGTTGCATTTGTTGTACTTGTTGTTGCATTGCAACAGACTGTTGTTGTTGTTGCTGCTGTGCCAATACTTGTTGAGCACTAGGCATACCCATAGTATTGGAGCCTACTCCACCCACGCCAACTCCGACTCCTACACCAACTCCAAATTGTTGTGGATTCACCATACCTATTAATATTTTCTCTCGATATTACTGTATTTCTTTAAGATTTGCTTTAACTCTTGGCTATCTTGTGTAATTGGTATTTATACCACCTTGTACTTACTACCTTGTTGTGGCCCCATTAAGCCAGATACCATTTGTCCTCCGCCAAACTGCGTTCTCATTGCAGATTGTTGTACACTAGGAAACCCAGATGGAAATGGATGTTGTTGGCCAGCCATGTTCGTTTAGTTTTGTCACAACTATAAATTTAAAAAATTAAATTGATAGCATGTGTAAATTGATAACACATGTGAGATAACAATAAGTGTGTGATAGCTGAAGATCAAATAATAATTACAAAATTGTTAGGTTAGGTATTCTTTTGGTGCTGTATTTTGATTGTGTTTATTTTTCACAATTTTAAATAACAATTTTAAATAACAGTTTTGACCCTGTTCGTATTTATCTTTAAATACAGAGGGAAGTAATGGTTAAGATACTAATAAAGGTCATAAATTGCATGAACCTTCGAAATCAATAGTTTTTGTTACAGTAAAATGATAATTTTTTTTTACTTTACTTGATAATAAATGGAAAATTGCAGAATCACGCCATCAATAGAGAAATAATAATAAAATATGCACATTTCCATTAATATGTGCAATGTAAAAGGCACAATCTACATTTTATACACACGTTGTTGACATCACATTGCGCATCTGTGCCGCGCATATAATGTCAATGATTGTGATGGCTGCAATTTCGTTATATTTTATTTAAAAATTGACGTACTATATGAAATTTAATATTATGAAACTTAATATTAACTTAAAAATTATTTTATTAAAATTAAATTTTAACATGAAGAATTATGTACATACAAATTCTTTTAATCAATGACGTGATATGAGGGCAGTAGCTCTCAAGAAATTTTACTGCAATTTATGATATGCATAAATATAATACTAATATATTTTTAGAATGTAATATTTATAATAAACATATACTTTTACGTTTTTCAAAATTTTATATTATAATTTCATAATTTGTTTTTACATACAAAAATATATTTATAAGCATATTTTAAAGTACATATGTATACTGAGAATTTTAGTATGTAATTAAGCATATGTTAAGGTGCGTTCAGATTTGTTACTGTACCTTGCCCCATTCCCGTTATCCATTATTCCAGGTAAGAAACAAAGACATTGTTTTGTACATCGTGATTTACTTGGTTCAGCTAATCTAGTTAATGCCAGAAAAATATGCCGCTTAAAGGAAGTATTTAACGTGTTTTTTTTTCTAAACGAACTTAGACCTCTTTGCATACCAAGATCGACCAAATCCGAAACTTGATTATCATCTGTTCAGTTGGAATGCGATTAATTAATATTTGAAAATTTCTCATTTATGTAAGTAGATTTAGAAATGAAGTCTGCATGAAATCTCGTTACCTCTAAATAACGTATGTAATATATAGTAATAAATAATAATAACAAATGTGAACACACCTTTATGTTTTCTACCATTCCATTGTTCGACATACATATAAATATATGATATTAATACACTGAGACAATTTAAACAAAATATATACGTATATGTTTCCTTTATACAATAATCTATGTATTACAAAGTATTAATATAACATTATTACAATTATCTCGCATATTATAACTCTGAAAAGTATGTTTAATTTCAAATTTAGAGAAACAAATAATACGTTTTAATAAAAAAAGAAATTTTATATTTGTTCCTATTCAAAAATATATTAAAAATTTTTTTCACTTATATCTTAAAATTATGTAGACAATATTTTATAGATTATTTTTTACATTTAAGTACTAAGTTATGTGCTGAAAATGAATAATGAAATGTTCCTCAAAATGCAAGTTCAAAGTCGATGTCAATTTCTTGAAAAAAATAGGACCAAATTCAATGATATTCGAACAATGTCCAAACAGGAGATAAGGTCAGCGCACACGAAATGAACACAGTAGACATAACGGCCCAATCTTCAGTCTCCATGCACCTTGCTTGCTTTTGCGTTCACATTGTTTTTCTGGCACAGGCAGTATCTATCCCGTCGAGGACTGTAACTGGACGCTTCAAGATACATACGTGCACGAAAAAATAACAGTGTGAAACAGTTGCTCATCCCCGTCAAAATGCCTCGTGAATTATTATTTTTCACTGTGATACTATTCAATTTTATTCTGTATGTTGAAGACAAAGTGATTGTAAATCCAAATTTTCAATCTAACGTCATAAATAGTGCTTCAAGAACTCAAGATCAACATGTAAATGAGAACTCCGATTTCAAGGTAATGAAAGCTGACCGCTTGAGCGGGAAAATGAACCACAATGCCTGCACTGGAGATTGTAACGAAAAAAGTCAGAAATTTTTAAGTGAAAGTAAGCACACGTGTCCTTACGAGAGTAAGGAATTGTGCTTGATATTCTCATTGTCGAAAATCGCTAAAGTTCAAGTGGCTACGTTAAGTCAACCTTCGACATATCACAATTTAAAGTCAAATATCTTTGACAGTACGTCGAAAGATGCCAGAAATTCGAAAGTTAACGAGGCAAGGAGGGAGGATGATGAACAGTTACGTTCCGAATTTACAAATCGAAATGAAGACAAATATTTCGAGAATTTTTCAGAAAGACAGACGAAGTTATCAAACATTCATTGTCGAGCAGTTCGCGATGTTTACATACTAGAAGTGAAGCAAAGTCTACCAGCTTTTGCTTGTATATTTGGAAACAATACATTCATCTTATCGAGTGAAAGATTTCTTCAAGATCGACGATCATATTTGAATATAAGAATCGATGAGAATACATTTAAAAGCATAAAAGCTACTCCGAAAATTTCCAGAATCAACGGAATTAACGTGATACCTGCATTGCTTGTTTTAAATCTTGCTAATAACAACTATAGAATAGAAATGCATGAAAACATTTCTAACAATGAAAAGGTCTATCAATCAGAAGGGAGTCGCTAAGGAATTATTGGAGAAATTATCACGTTTTGTTAAAGGTTCGAATGTCCGGTGATAACTTTCAATTCATTATCTTTTGTTAAGTAAACAATACATGTAAATACGATAATTGTAACTCTATCGGTAGTTGTATCTTTGTAACAGTTGGAAGGAAATAAAATTGTACAATATAATTAACAAGTTTTCTCGCCATTTTTCTTCCAATTCTGATATGTTGTTACAAAGTATTCGATATAAATGTAATTCGATTTTATTTCATAATCTATCTTAGAAGTACACTCGATTTATGCAAATTGTTAATTTCATGTGTTTTTTTTTTTTATGCAGAATAAATAAACTCACGTAGTTTGCTCGTACGAAAGAAAATATTATAAAGAAAAATCGGTATAAATAATTATAGAAATATTTATTTCACATATTTTTACAAGAAAAAAGATAATAAAAATTTAGAAAAGTTAAAATAAATTTTATTCGCTATCAATATTGTCTAATCAAGAAATATTGAAATAATTAATATAGTTAAATAAGAATTTGCATCTCAATGATATATAATAAATTCAAGGAAGATTATAGAAAAATATGTGTTCTGAATGTTCATAAACATCCGCGTAAACTGTGAAATTATTTATTAAAAAAAAAATCGCATATAAAAAGTATCGCGTAAATCGAGGGATAAATATATTTTATTCGAGCATATTTGCATCACGTATTATTATCATAGATCAATAATATACAATAGTGATTTATAACACTTGACAAAAAACATCTGAATGTTAAAATCCATGGGACAAGTTGTATCACAAAATTCTATATTGTCCATATTGCTATAAATAAGTCTCACTATAAATGGTATATTATCATTTTATGATTTCAATTCCAATCATATTATCATCTTCACTTCGAATCCATTTCTAGATTGATCCTCCGTTCGTTCCTTTTCTGGTGTTGATAATGTTTTTGATAAGTGCGATAATTTTTGAACATTAGATATAATATTCGGGACTGGTTGTTCCTTGATAGGTGATTTATCATTTATCGTAAATGGAATTGTAAGAGCTTCTTCAGTAAGATGTTGCGGGAGTTCCTTTGATATCGTCGTTGAATCGTTAGTAATGATTCGATCGTCCATTTTAATTGCATTAAAAATTCGTTCGTCATTCTTTTGATTCGACTCGTCTGACGACGATTTAGGAAGATTGGAATGCGTATTGTCTAAATTTTTGATTTCTTCTTCAATATCAATCTTCAAGTCTTTAAGATCTCCTTTTTCTTCTTTAGCTAATAGGTTAACCTTAAAAATAAAATAATAATTTTAGTCGTACATATGCATTCATTTGAATGAAATTCTTTGTTAAAAGGTGATAACTTCTGATTGAGCATGAGATTATTGAAGTATTTTTTAGTAAGTGAAGCTTTGTGAATTTAATTGCATATTTTATATTTGCAAAATATGCAATTAAATTTACAAAGCTTCACTTATTCAAATGAATGTATATGTAATAAAAATATTCATAAAAAATTATATTTAAATTTTTTGCATTATATTTTTACCAACGTCGTAACAAAAATAAATGATAGAACATATTAATGCAGATTTGTTTGTTAATAACTATTGTTTGTCAATTTGTTTTAATACATCACTCATAAAATTTATTAATATTATGATGTATCTAATTCAGTTCCATTAAAAAGAAGAAAATTTAAAGGTAGCTTAGTTATTATAATATTTATAATTATAAATCGCATATTATTTTCAATCTCAATGATATTTCGAAGAATATAATTTTTATGTATCCAATATAAAAAAGTTTTTTTTTATTACGCATATACTTCTATAATTTACACGACATACAAAATGTAGTCATTCTATCGAATGTTTAAAAAAGAATTCTTCTGTTTATTCATTAGAAACTAAATAATAATTTATTATAAGATAATGTCACAATTTATCATATTTTTTCAATTTTTTTAAAATTTCATACAAGATATAAGATAAAATTTAATAATATATTATTAGTTGAAAATAATTGCAAATGAAATGTTGCGTTAATATTGGTTCTTAATGAATTAAGATTTCTATTTATATGATTTTCATATCAGTCAATAAGTTCCATTAATGTCAGTTTATTCACAATCTATAATAAGGAATTAAGACAAATGAATTTTTTTTTCAATTTCAAGTTATTTGAGGTCGTCATTAAAGGTATTAGTTTACCACTATTAATATATTATGATAAGTGGGAAGAACACAAGCGATTTAATGAGTCATCGATTTCTCGCTGAGATTAACCATTTATGCAGGTGTCAGGTGAAAATATATAGGATATAAAAGCAATTACTACGGTATAATCGAACTGATGGTAATATTTTTTCCGTCCTCTCGCATCATCCTTCATTAATGCGCATGTTATTAACATGAAGCAATAAAACGGAAAATATAATTTTATTGTAAAATAATATTAAAAAAAAAAAAATTAAATATTACGTTTAGACAAAATATGAAAAAAAAATTGATAAAAAATTAATTTTACATGGCAGTCATGTTAATATTATATAACTTATAAAAAATAATCATACTTTCTTGAAATAATTATACTCATTTAATATATATTTTAATGACACGTTTATATACCTTGTGAATTGCAATTCTTTTTGAACATTTGTATGAAAAATGTATGAAATAAAATAAAATTCATACGCTTTAACCACAGGTTTTGATGCGATTGTTTTTCTCGCATATCTTTTTTCGATATTTTTCTCTCCTCTTATATCCTCCTCTTTTTATTTAGTATTCTTCGCATCTACAGAAATAAACTGATTGCTCACTTGTCTAATCATTAGGATTAACACTGTACTTATTCACTTCATCTTTGTCAGAAATATATCGGAAGAATCAGAAATATTATCTAAGTTTGTCTTTTATATAATAGCAGTTAAAGGAACTTGGCTATAAATGTTATAACTTCAAATATCATAGTTGGGATATGATTATTTGTTATTTAACAAACGTAAGAAACTGAAATTATTTGAAAAAAATTACTTATGGATATATTTAATTACTTATGCATATAATAATAACAGTTATAATGATTTGCAACATTAACATTGAATTTATTAATTTTCAGCAACAGCTGAAGAATTAACTCGTAAAAAGCTACTAGCTATTAGAATTATAATTTTTTTTTACAAATTTGTAAATTACGTCCTCTGTAATAAATTAGTTCTGAAAAAATAATTTATACATATATTTGTAGGTCTAATGTTTTTATTAATATTGAATTTATTAATTTTCAATACTAGCTGAAAATCTAGTTTGCAAGAAGTTATTAGCTATTAAAATTATTATTTTTTTTCATTTATGTCACTTATTATTTACTTATTATTAAATGTCACTTATTATTAGATTATTTAACTAAATTATCAAAATTGTGGAGAAAACTCATACACATCTTTTTAATGATAACCGAAAAATTAATTCAAACTATTAGTTATTAAAATTATAAGTTATTTTTACAAATTATAGCAAGATAATGTGATTATTCAATTTATTCAAATTAATTAAGTCACCTTAGATAAGTTCGGTCCTTCATGAAATGCCTCGGCTAACGCGAGATTTATTTCCTCCAGTGGTTGATTACCATGCCTTATATAAACCGGAATATAGCCCGGGATGACAGGTAATACTTGAAGTGGGTACGAATCTATAAGAAATTGGAATCGAATCAAAGACTAAACTACATTGTGAACTGAAACAAAGCAAGTTTTAAATTCTAAGAAATAATAATTTATAGTCATAATGCAATGACAGCATGCATTAGTCTTCCATTGCAGAGAGATAATGACACGAGAGACTCGTGTCATGCTTGTGTAATTTATTTTCTATAACTGCAAATCGTCATTAGGCTTGAATAAGTTATTCAAAAAAATATGTCTAAATGACGTACGTTTAGGTTTCTATCGTACAATTTTTCTTACGATTTTTAAATATCGTGTAAAATAAGTCAGTAAACAAATAAATTTTGTGAATTATGGCATGGGCATATATTTTGCACAAAATAGAAACGTCAATCCATCATGTTTTATAGAAAAAAATTATAATCGCAAATAGTTTTATTATTAAGCTTGAACAAAATATTCGAGAAGTACATCTAAATAATTAGTAAACGATTTAGATTTCTGGATATCGTACATAAGTCAACTCATACTAAATTTTTTTGATCAATATGAGCAAATATTTTGTACGAGAAATAAAGTTTAAACCATATAAATCATATTTTATGGGAAGAAACTGTTACCAAATTCGAATGAGATACCCAAGAAATACCCAAATCATTAACATATGTCTTGATTTTTGAATAATCGTGTAATTTTTGAATATCATACGAAATAAATCAATAGACAAATAGATAAGTATTTTGCACGTAAAATGCAAACGTCAATCAATCAAAAACTTGGCATTTAAAGAGACGAATTCAACACATTTCTCCCCATTATTAGCTATTTCTTTTATACACTTGTACACTATATTTCTTATGATATCGATTGATTTCCATTAATCATCCGGTCGTTATACTCAAATTACAAATACTCCAAAGGC